TTATGACAGGTGTGGTAAGGGACGGCTGTAAGGGGAGAAGGGAGGCCGTTTTGGACTTTGGAAATACTTTCCTTCTTCGACACATCGACACATTGTCGCATTGTCACATCATCAAAATCGCCAAATATTGTCACACCGTCAAGATCATCATCACACATCGTCCAGCGTCAGAAAAAGAAGAAGAAGAAGAAACGCTCAGAAGAAAAGAAGAATACTTTACATAGACTTTAGGGATCAATCAAGAAAAGTCTGACTATTTCAAGAGCAAAGTATTTCCAAATCAATCAATGGAGTGTCTACTCATTTTTATGACAGGTGTGGTAAGGGACGGCTGTAAGGGGAGAAGGGAGGCCGTTTTGGACTTTGGAAATACTTTCCTTCTTCGACACATCGACACATTGTCGCATTGTCACATCATCAAAATCGCTAAATATTGTCACACCGTCAAGATCATCATCACACATCGTCCAGCGTCAGAAAAAGAAGAAGAAGAAGAAACGTCAGTAGAAAAGAAGAATACTTTACATAGACTTTAGGGATCAATCAAGAAAAGTTTGACTATTTCAAGAGCAAAGTATTTCCAAATCAATCAATGGAGTGTCTACTCATTTTTATGATAGGTGTGGTAAGGGACGGCTGTAAGGGGAGAAGGGAGGCCGTTTTGGACTTTGGAAATACTTTCCTTCTTCGACACATCGACACATTGTCGCATTGTCACATCATCGAAATCGCCAAATATTGTCACACCGTCAAGATCATCATCACACATCGTCCAGCGTCAGAAAAAGAAGAAGAAGAAAAAACGCTCAGAAGAAAAGAAGAATACTTTACATAGACTTTAGGGATCAATCAAGAAAAGTCTGACTATTTCAAGAGCAAAGTATTTCCAAATCAATCAATGGAGTGTCTACTCATTTTTATGACAGGTGTGGTAAGGGACGGCTGTAAGGAAAGATGGGAGGCCGTTTTGGACTTTGGAAATACTTTCCTTCTTCGACACATCGACACATTGTCGCATTGTCACATCATCAAAATCGCCAAATATTGTCACACCGTCAAGATCATCATCACACATCGTTCAGCGTCAGAAAAAGAAGAAGAAGAAGAAACGCTCGGAAGAAAAGAAGAATACTTTACATAGACTTTAGGGATCAATCAAGAAAAGTCTGACTATTTCAAGAGCAAAGTATTTCCAAATCAATCAATGGAGTGTCTACTCATTTTTATGACAGGTGTGGTAAGGGACGGTTGTAAGGGGAGAAGGGAGGCCGTTTTGGACTTTGGAAATACTTTCCTTCTTCGACACATCGACACATTGTCGCATTGTCACATCATCAAAATCGCCAAATATTGTCACACCGTCAAGATCATCATCACACATCGTCCAGCGTCAGAAAAAGAAGAAGAAGAAGAAACGCTCAGAAGAAAAGAAGAATACTTTACATAGACTTTAGGGATCAATCAAAAAAGTCTGACTATTTCAAGAGCAAAGTATTTCCAAATCAATCAATGGAGTGTCTACTCATTTTTATGACAGGTGTGGTAAGGGACGGCTGTAAGGGGAGAAGGGAGGCCGTTTTGGACTTTGGAAATACTTTCCTTCTTCGACACATCGACACATTGTCGCATTGTTACATCATCAAAATCGCCAAATATTGTCACACCGTCAAGATCATCATCACACATCGTCCAGCGTCAGAAAAAGAAGAAGAAGAAGAAGAAACGTCAGTAGAAAAGAAGAATACTTTACATAGACTTTAGGGATCAATCAAGAAAAGTTTGACTATTTCAAGAGCAAAGTATTTCCAAATCAATCAATGGAGTGTCTACTCATTTTTATGACAGGTGTGGTAAGGGACGGCTGTAAGGGGAGAAGGGAGGCCGTTTTGGACTTTGGAAATACTTTCCTTCTTCGACACATCGACACATTGTCGCATTGTCACATCATCAAAATCGCCAAATATTGTCACACCGTCAAGATCATCATCACACATCGTCCAGCGTCAGAAAAAGAAGAAGAGAAGAAACGCTCAGAAGAAAAGAAGAATACTTTACATAGACTTTAGGGATCAATCAGGAAAAGTCTGACTATTTCAAGAGCAAAGTATTTCCAAATCAATCAATGGAGTGTCTACTCATTTTATGACAGGTGTGGTAAGGGACGGCTGTAAGGAAAGATGGGAGGCCGTTTTGGACTTTGGAAATACTTTCCTTCTTCGACACATCGACACATTGTCGCATTGTCACATCATCAAAATCGCCAAATATAGTCACACCGTCAAGATCATCATCACACATCGTTCAGCGTCAGAAAAAGAAGAAGAAGAAGAAACGCTCGGAAGAAAAGAAGAATACTTTACATAGACTTTAGGGATCAATCAAGAAAAGTCTGACTATTTCAAGAGCAAAGTATTTCCAAATCAATCAATGGAGTGTCTACTCATTTTTATGACAGGTGTGGTAAGGGACGGTTGTAAGGGGAGAAGGGAGGCCGTTTTGGACTTTGGAAATACTTTCTTTCTTCGACACATCGACACATTGTCGCATTGTCACATCATCAAAATCGCCAAATATTGTCACACCGTCAAGATCATCATCACACATCGTCCAGCGTCAGAAAAAGAAGAAGAAGAAGAAACGCTCAGAAGAAAAGAAGAATACTTTACATAGACTTTAGGGATCAATCAAGAAAAGTCTGACTATTTCAAGAGCAAAGTATTTCCAAATCAATCAATGGAGTGTCTACTCATTTTTATGACAGGTGTGGTAAGGGACGGCTGTAAGGGGAGAAGGGAGGCCGTTTTGGACTTTGGAAATACTTTCCTTCTTCGACACATCGACACATTGTCGCATTGTCACATCATCAAAATCGCCAAATATTGTCACACCGTCAAGATCATCATCACACATCGTCCAGCGTCAGAAAAAGAAGAAGAAGAAGAAACGCTCAGAAGAAAAGAAGAATACTTTACATAGACTTTAGGGATCAATCAAAAAAAGTCTGACAATTGCAAAGCAAAGTTAACAGATATCCAGACATTCTACCCAAAGATCGATTCATCGTGTCTGTCCGCCCTAGGAAGCTGTACTACTTTGGACATATGGCGAGGGAAAGTGCTGGGAAGTTAAGAGCAACAATCCTAGAAGGCAAAGTGGAGGGCAAAAGATCAAGATGTCGATCCAAAGCAGCCTATGAATCAAGATCGAAGAAAAAGAAGACTACTTTACATAGACTTTAGGGATCAACCAAGAAAAGTCTGACTATTTCAAAAGCAAAGTATTTTCAAATCAATCAATTGATTGTCTACTAATTTCTTTTACTGGTGTGGTAAGGAACGGCTGTAATGGGAGATGGGAGGTCGTTTTGCACTTTGGAAATCTTCACTGAATCCTGTTGTTCACTGAATTTTAATTCGTTACTGTTGAAACAAATGAGAATAGATATTTTCTCCCTGTGTAACTTTTTTTCTCTATATCCTTTCCATCTACGGCACATCGACACATATATCGTTGTCATCATCAAAATCGCCAAGCATGGTCATTGTCAAATCGTCAAACATCATCGTCACATTGTCACGTCTTCACGCCTTGCATCGTCGCAATGTGTAATCGTCACATCGTCAAACATCGATCATCGACACATCGTGATGTCGTCTCATCATAACTTCGTCCCATTGTCAAACATCATAATCGCCAAAGATCATCGCATCGTCACATCTTCGAAAATCGTCTTCACATCGAATGCCTGATCAACCAGCATTTCTATATTATCTGAAGGTGTGGTAAGGGACGGCAGTAAGGGGAGATGGGAGGTAGAAGATAGAAGACGGCGTTGAGGGGCGTTGCCTTACTGGAAAGCGGCTGACCTAACTTGGAAGCGGTGGACCTAACTGGGAAGCAGCGGACCTATATGGGAAGCAGCGGACCTATATGGGAAGCGGTGGACCTAAGTGGGAAGCAGTGGACCTAAATGGGAAGCGGTGGACCTAAGTTGGAAGCGGCGCACCTAACTGGGAAGCCACGGACCTTATTGGGACGCGATAAAACTAACTGGAAAGCGCAAACCTAATTGGGAAATGGCTGGCAGAAATGTGAAGCTGCGGACCAGGTGAGAACTAGAAGATGAAAAAATAAATAGAAAAGGTTAACCGAAGAACAAATAAGAAGAGAAACAACACAGATGACGAGGACCAACGCGTAAGAAGAAAAAGAAGAAAAAATAATAAGAAGAAAAGTAAAGTTGACGTAAACTTTAGGGATCAGTTGAGTCTCTAGTAGTTTTTCTTTTCACCGGTGTGGTAAGGGACGGCTGTAGGGGGAGAAGGGAGGCCGTTCTCTTATTGTTTTTATTGCAAAGCTAACAAAAGAAAGTAAGAAAAAGAACTGAGTAGCAGAAAAAGTTAGAACTAAACCCAGGACAAAATGTGAGAAAAAGATCAGGTATTACACAACGTGAGAGGAAATTCAAAAAGACATACGTTAAAAGTATAAGTTACATAAAGTAGTTTGAAAGGTAATAAGAAGAAGAAATTCGAAGAAGTTTAATACCCCCCGGACTTCCCTCATAATATGAAATTACTAGGGAGGTTTAGATGCGCTGCATGACGTGAACGCGAACGCTAGCGTGAGATAGATTTTTCGCGCTTTTATTTTTACTGCCCCCAAAAATATTTCCTACCCCCATCCCCCGGCGCCGCCACTGATTACGCATCGGTAAGATCAACCTGTAAAGAGAGGAGTGATCGGTCATCGTTGAACGAGGTAAGAATAAATTAATGTTGCATACCCTGTGTTCTAACGAATGTTTAATTTGTATGTTTGGTTTTAACGAAGAAAAAAAACATACTTAGGCCTAATTATTTTGTTCCAATTTGTAACGGCTGCTACCCTGTAAAAAGGGCTGTCATTTCGCGAATAAACAAGAATGATTGGCTGGCAAACAACAGGGCCTATGCTAATCGGCTCCTCTCGCGGGGTGGTTTTTTATATTTGCGAAATTGATATAGCGCCCTCAAGTGGTAAACCTTAGCAACATGGCGGCGCGCAGTGGTCTTGCAGGTGATCGCTCGAAACGTTACGAAAAAATAGAATTTCTCGGTGAAGGACAGGTACTTAGCCATTTTCGTTTGCATGTGTATTGAGAAATTTACAGGAGTGTGTTTCATTAAAAAAATGTTTTCAAGAAATATCGAAAACTTAAATTTTAAGGTAATGTCCGGAAATTGGGCACATCATCATCATGTCATGATCTAGCCCGACTGCGTCTGGCCGTACAGTACTATCGCAAGCTCTGTAGTACGGCCAGACGCCCGATGCTTCCACAGAGACAGAATTTTGTTGGCCGCCGATGTAGCGAGTTTGCTACATCTTTCGATCGCAATTATCTTTTCATCCAGGACACAAATTTCCAAAGTTAAGGTTCGTAGTCGTAGAGCAACTCATACCTTTTCGAAAAAACGTTGTTTGGTCTCAATATTTTCATCCATCTGGCCACAAGACGAAGTTCAGTCATCAGATTCCACAAATATCGTCCCCCATGCGATCCCCCATGCGATTTCAAAATGGCGGCCGTGCTGTAATGTATGCAATATGCAGGCGCGCCCGCGCAAACTCATGAATATGCATAAACAGTCTGTGACGTATGATCTCGTGTTTTTGGACGTACGGCCCCGCCACACGCACGTCCAAAACACGAGGTCATACGTCACAGACTGTTTATGCATATTCATGAGTTTGCGCGGGCGCGCCTGCATATCGCATACATTACAGCGCGGCCGCCATTTTGAAATCGCATGGGGGATCGCATGGGGGACGATATTTGTGGAATCTGATGACTGAAATTCATCTTGTGGCCAGATGGATGAAAATATTGAGACCAAACAACGTTTTTTCGAAAAGGTATGAGTTGCTCTACGACTACGAACCTTAACTGTGGAAATTTGTGTCCTTGATGAAAAGATAATCGCGATCGAAAGATGTAGCAAAATCGCTACATCGGCTACCAACAAAATTCAGTCTCTGTGGAAGCATCGGGCGTCTGGCCGTACTACAGAGCTTGCGATAGTACTGTACGGCCAGACGCAGTCGGGCTAGTCATGATCTAGCTTGAGTAACTCCAGCTGACATGCTCATATTCATTCACATGTAGCGCTGCAGCGCTGGAGGAATAACCTGTTCGTTAGAATGTGGTAGCAAGAGACCCTAAAAAAATGGCCTCTCAAAAATTGTTCATTTTCACCTCTAATATCCCAACCCAGAGTTCATTTACATACCTCATACATTCAGCAGTCATTTACGAAGCCTAATGATCGACTTGAAACGGACCCCAAAAAAAAATGTGAAAAATCTTGATGATTTCGGTGGCTTGTCCGTAAAAAAACGCCAGTTCCAACGGCTGTCGTCCATTTTAATTTGCTAATTATGTAAATGTATGCATCACGTGATGACATCGAAAAAATCTGCGCGCGCGATGTATGTGGGTACCACACCGCTTTCAGGCGCCACAAGTGAGTTCAATTTTCGTCTGGTGCGTTGTCTTGGAGAGCATTCTCGTTGTCTTGCTTTCCGCGACAATGCACCAGACGAAAATTGAACTCACTTGCGGCGCCTGAAAGCGGTGTGGTACCCACATACATCGCGCGCGCAGATTTTTTTCGATGTCATCACGTGATGCATACATTTACATAATTAGCAAATTAAAATGGACGACAGCCGTTGGAACTGGCGTTTTTTTAATGACAAGCCACCGAAATCGTCAAGATTTTTCACATTTTTTGTGTGTGGTCTGTTTCAAGTCGATCATTAGGCTTCGTAAATGACTGCTGAATGTATGAGGTATGTAAATGAACTCTGGGTTGGGATATTAGAGGTGAAAATGAACAATTTTTGAGAGGCCATTTTTTTAGGGTCTCTTGCTACCACATTCTAACGAACAGGTTATTCCTCCAGCGCTACATGTGAATGAATATGAGCATGTCAGCTGGAGTTACTCAAGCTAGTCATGATCATGATCAGCAGAGAAAAACAAAAAATGAGAAAAAGTCTGAGGTTTTTCAAGAGTAAAGCAAAAACGTACAAGTTAGGAGTAACCTTAATAAAGCTCATGATCAATACCTATCCATTATTTTGGATGATTGAGGATCTTCAGTTCAGAAGAACCCAAACATGCCAAAGAAGTTTTGAAAATATGTAAAATCCAAATGTACGGACACTGCTGGTGTTCACCCAAAGAACGCCAGCGAGACAGTGTCTGACATCTTAATTGAAAATTAATCTGAAAGCCAACATCTTAATTCATTTTTTAAGTTGGTCTTTGCGCAGGAGGACACGCCAACTTAGCACAACCCTTCCCAATCCTCAACAGATCTTCCCTGAATGAGCCACTTGAAAAAACATCTGAAGGTATCCAGAAGCTTCTTCATGAATTAAATCCATCAAAGGTGACAGGTCCAGATAATCTACCTAACAGAATTCTCAGAGAATGCAATATGAACTGGCAGTGGCACCATTTCTGACAGCTTCAATCATAATCTCGGCCAATTCCCAGATGATTCATTACTGCCAATGTTTGTTACTCCGGTGTTTAAGACGGGCAGCAAGAACGACCCAAGTAATTATCTCCCCATTTCATGTGTGTTCTGTGCAATGTTTTGGAACACGTCGTCCAGCGTCGTATCATGTTTTACCTTGAACTTCACCAGATACTAACCAACTGCCAACACTGTTTTAGGAAAAATAGAGGCTGTGATACCCAGTTACTCATCACAGTGGATGATTATTTAAAACAATTACACCAGTCGATTGACAAAATTGTTCTGTCCTAAGGCCAGCAGGTATGGCTTGGAGGTGACTTTAGCCTACCCGGCATTAACTGGAGTACTGTGTCATCCATACCAGGAGGTTACAAACCAGGTCTATCACAGGAACTCATCAACATCATCAATGACAAAGAATTTGAACACATGATAATTTCACCTACCAGATTAGACAACATATTGGACTTAGAGCATGAAAGTTTGTTTTATTGGACTTGTTTCTCACCACACATTCTACCCTTGTAGAGAAGACAACAGTGGTGTCTGGCATGAGCGACCATGATACCGTTTATAGTAGTCAACACCAAACCCCGCAAGAACAAACAAAATCAAGGAGAGTTTACTTCTGTAGGACAGCTGATGCTGACAGTTTGAAAGAAGCAGTTACAAAACTTGCAAGTCACATTGTTGGCAATTATGACAACCGTGATTACCCAGCAGACTGACTTCAAAGTGGGCTTGACTGAAGCCATGAATAAGTTCATACCTTCAGGAAGGGTAAACAATCACCATGGATAAACCAGGACATCAAGCGACCGCACAAATGAAAACAACAAGCTTACAACCAGTATAAGAAGACAAAAAGCCTAGAGGACAAAGAGAGATTTCAAACCCTCAGGAAGGAAGTCTCAAAGATGATGAGGAGACAACACAGAAGTTACGTGAAACGATCCTGTGCATCAACATCCAAGAGCTTCTGGAACTTTGTCAAGAGCGTAAAGCAAGACACTGTCGGTATCTGCTCTCTCAGGGGAGACCTGATTTCCGGAAGCACAGAAAAAGCGGGAGTCCTAAATGACCAATTTAGGAAAGTCTTCATCCAGGAGGATATAGACAATATGCCGCCAATGGATAATAATTCTTTTCCATCTATGCCGGAACTCGTCATAAACACACAGGAAGTAGGGAAACAACTTTCCAAACTACTACCCAACAATGACCTACATGTACATGTGCATGCCCACATACTGAAGGAGTACATGTACGCATCTGTACGCATCTGAAATCGCTCCAGTCCTCACCTGCATATTTCAGAGATGGTTAGACTTGGGTATTGTGCCGGAAGATTGGAGAAGAGCTAACATCAGCCCTATCGTCAAAAAAGGAGATTGAATAGCATCCAACTACCAGTCAGTATCGCTGATGTCAATATGCAGCACGGTCCTGAAACGTATTCTGCACTCCAACATATCAGATCATCTTGACCAGTACAACATACTGTGGGAGGAACTGCACAAATTCCGCTGCAAACACTCCTGTGAATCTCAACTCAGACAACACACGATCTGACTCTTGCTCTCGACAACAGAAAACAGACAGACACAGTAATAACGGATTCCGTGATTCAACATTTACAATTGGATTTCGAGCTCCCTATCAGTATGCACACAGAGAGCAGTACTGGAAGGAGAAAGCTCTAGATCTGCCGATGCTATATCTGGGGTATAAATACCCCAAGGCACTGTTCTAGGACCACTTTTGTGTCTCCTATACTGTTAACAATATTCCATCTTGCGTGTCTTTAGAAACCAGACTCTTTGCAGACGATGGCTTACTGTATCGTGAAAGAAACTCACCATCAGATGCTGCCTCGCTTCAAAGTGACCTTGATGCTCTAGCTGTAAGTGGGAAAGTGAGCGGGAAATGAAATTCAACACAGATAAATGCTTCATCATGCACATGACAACCAAGAAAAGCCAGCTCTTCATAAGTATAATATCAATGGGAAGCCTCTCATCCAACAACATCCAACCATCCATACCTAGGACTCATCTGCAGCAGTGATTGCAGCTGGTCATCACACATAAACAAAATCACAACTAGTGCCAAACAGACAACTGGTATCGTCTGGCGGAACTTCAAATCATGCAGCGAAGAAGTAAAATCTCACCTTTACTAGTCTTTGGTTCCTATGCCTGGTCTGTGGGAGGCATTGTACCTCTGAGTTTGGTCTACAAAGCCATATGAGAATTCACGTACCTGGACACGAAGCTTTTGTTCCATTTGAGAATTGTGAAGACGTCATTGTCGATTCGACAGACTACCTCTACTTCGAGTTATAACATGTATATCTGAATAATTATATCATATTTTATTTCCACATTGGGCCATTTTTCATTTCTTAAAATGTATTTTCCTTTTTTCATTTTATTTAACTCATGCATATGACAGAGTTTAAAATCACTCAGCAAGATACTTTTTTTTCAAAATAATTCCATGGTATACATGTTGTTGCTTTAGATTTTTTTTTTTTAAATTGTGATTTGTTTTCTCTCATCCCAGTTTGCAACTGTTTACAAAGCCAGAGATGTTGAAGATGACAACAGAATTGTGGCCGTTAAAAAGGTATGTGGGTGTGCGAAACCCAGCATTGTATTTTGTAATTTTTTTTTTAATCTAATAGGCTTATCTGATAGAACAATAATAAAAAATAATAACAGGTTCTTACAAATGCTTTTTAAACAAGATCAAAGCAGCCCTTTGTAATTTTGTCTTATTTTTGTTGTGCATTGTTCAGCGCATTGGGACTTTATGTAAAATGCGCTTTATAAGCACTGTTTATTATTATTATTATTATTATTACGTTACTTATTACTTCTAGATATTTAGTTCTGATAATAACTAGTAGTCCTGCTTATCAACTTTCGCCAAGTAGTTTATTTTATTTATTCTTATCAGAACTATATATCTTCTGAGCGACAGTACATGTAGTTACCACATGGTGTTACCGCAAACCGAAACTATACTTATACTCCACCATGCAAAACCTACAATCTTAAGTCACGTTATATATTTTGACTGTTGAGATTGTCATGTTGAATTTACCAGCCAGAGAAAGCAGGAAATGCACTCAAAAGTTTGCTGGAAACTAATTCCATGTCAATGTCAAATTTTATTTCCCACTTATTTCATTGACAGATAAAGCTTGGTCATCGAAGTGAGGCAAAGGATGGGGTTAATCGCACTGCGCTCAGGGAAATCAAACTACTGCAGGAGTTGAAACACGAGAACATCATTGGGGTAGAGTGCATGCAAACCTTTACTATTATTTACAAAGTTTATTATAGGTATTTATAAAGCGCACATATCCACCAGGACTGGTGCTCAAGGCGCTACATCATTATTACCCTTCCTCATCGGGTCAATAAAACATACCAAATACCATCTCAGCTCCCTGGGGAGTGTACGGCTCCATGCTGCCATTTTGGCGCAAAGCAGCTACAGTCAATCACAATAACCACCTCTGCCCTCGCAGGTACCCAATTTACTCCTGGGTGGAGAGAAGCAATGAGTGACAAAGTGCCTTGCCCAAGGGCACATGCACCATAACCCCAGGCTGGCCTCGATTGTTTAAGCTTTCATTTTAAAAACGACTTTAGCATCTTTTCTACTTTGGTCAATGTTATTTGCACATTTTATGTTGTTTTGTCATTTTTTTTCTTCAGTTACTGGATGTTTTTGGACACAAGTCTAACATAAGTTTGGTGTTTGATTTTATGGACACGGATTTAGAGGTAAAGACAGTTTATTCAGTAATGTGGTTTTGTAGCCATAGGCTGTGTAGACATGTCCTTCTTCTATGAAAAGCTGTACATGTATATAAATGTAGTGTTTTTCAATTTAATGAAAAAAAATAACTAATAAAGCAGGCAGGATTCAAACCTGTAACCTTAAAGGGTTCATGACATGAATTGTATTTGGTAACACATTTTGTGCAACTTTCTACTCCTCTTAAATGTATGAAAACTATTTTGACATGGCTTTTTGGTAATGTGAAAAGTGCACTTCTTTAAACATTTAGCATCTCGTGGGCTTTTCCCAACAAATGAAATTGCTGTTTCTGTGATCTCATTTCAGTTTTTTTGTTGTTGAAATTGTGGACCCTAAATTCACTTGTTGAAAACATTTGTGAGAAAACTTTGCTCATTGGCCTACTTTCATGTAACGAAAACAACAATGAATCACCAATGAAAGAAAATTTACTACATGCTGTAACAGCAAAATATCAAACATTCTGGCAAATGTTGGTCCTGAAATAGCTGTAACATTGAGTTTTTTTGCCTGAAATGACATCACACTTTTGCTCATGAATATAGAAATTGGCATTAGCATAAAAACCCAAAGACATTGAAGTGCCCTTAAAAATGGCAACGTTGAAATTGAACTTAGGTTAAATTGGACACTAAGGTGCACTTACAAGGACTGCATAATTAACAAACTTACATTGCATGAACCCTTTAAAACATTGTTTTGGAGGATGTAGAGTTATAATGACAACATATTTTCAGGTTTTTATTTCCCGTAACTTGAGAAAATTCAGTTTTGTGTGGACTTTGTGCCAGTAAAAGCAAATGTAAAAGAATCTATACAGCACTGTATGTTATTGCCAAATATTATTGGTCTGAAAAACAAACTGTACATTGTATACAATATGAATGACAAATTACAAAGGTAACTTGGAACAAATGACATTATTTTTGTATGATATCTTAAGTGTTGTGGTTTAAAAAAAAAAAAGATAAACGTGAAATTGTGTTCGCACATCATCATTGTTTCAATGATTGCAGGTCATAATAAAGGACAACAGTTTAGTCTTGAAACCAGGGGATGTTAAAGCCTACATGATCATGACTCTCAAAGGCCTGGAATATCTGCACACCCACTGGATACTGCACAGAGTAAGTTGCACCTCACTAACCCTAACTCCCTAGCATGATTTACTAGGAACCATACCCATACTTGCAAATTCCAAAACCATATGGGAAATTGCACATGCATACTTTTGGCTTTGATTCTGGAGGTGTGCCAACCTAATTCAATTCAATTCAATATAACATTTATTTATATCCAACCATGAACAAAATATAATTCATATGTACATTAACGGAAAATAAATGTAAATGTTGTAGTGGAAAAACAAATAAGTAAAATTGTAAATGACAAAGCAATTAATTAAAAATGTAAAAGACTCAGTTTAGGGGTACTGTACCCATCCTGGTAGATTCCAACAAACCATGCCGTCGGGGTTTGATTTGTTGAGTTCTGTTAGGGTTAAGGATTGTTCCTAGCCAAAAGGGCCTAGAAGGTTAGTGTTTTAATGGCAATTCCCATATTAGTCTGTAGACCATTCCGAGCATGTCAACACTGTACACTCACAGAGGCCCCCTTCAATGGTGAAAGCATTGTGCCAGCTATTGTGCACAGCTATTGTGCACAGCTATTGCCCCATGATGGATTATCTGAGCTATGCGTAGCACAATGCCGTTGCCATTGAAGTTTGGGGGGGGGGGGGGGTTTCAACTGATAATGTAGTAACCAACGGATAATGTATCACCAACCGATAATGTCACACAAATTGACCGATACTGTATCACTAACCGATAATGTAACACAAATTGACCGATAGTGTAGTAAATGTTACTACACTATCGGTCAATATTTGTTACATTATCGGTTAAGACCGATAATGTAACAACAATCGTCTGATAGTGTAGTACATTTTTACTACTCTATCGGTCAATTTCTGTTACATTATTGGTTAGTGATACAGTATCGGTCAATTTGTGTGACATTATCGGTTGGTGATACATTATCCGTTGGTTACTACATTATCAATTGTAACAGGGGGCATGGGGGGGGGGGGTCCTCCGTGATGGAAATGATAAATGTGCCCCAAGTGGAGGGCTTCTGAGTCAGCATTTGAAACTTGGTTTCCAAAACATCGAACAAGTTCTCCAAATATCCATTGTCTGAACTGTTGAAGTTTCTGGTGATTTTCACTCATACAATTATTTCAATACCAAAATTGAATAGTCCTTTCTCTGTTTTTCGTTCAGGACATGAAACCCAACAACTTACTAATAGATACCAATGGAGTTCTCAAGATAGGAGATTTTGGTCTTGCGAAGTTCTATGGCAGCCCTAACAGAGTTTACACACATCAAGTTGTCACAAGGTTGGTATTTCTTATTATTCATTTATATTTTATTTATGATTTTTTTGGTAGAATTTTGCCTCCTTTACACCTTTCACTCAGACCACTTTTCCATTTACTACTTGGCCTAAAAACTTCATTTTTGAAATAGACAAGATATATCGGCCAGATTTTAAAATTTTAAAATTGAGTCAAACACTGCAAATATTGACTCTTGAGAGTCATTTGCAAAAGATTTGTACGAAAATTCTCACCGTAACTTTGTGCAATACCCCACCATGAAGCAATATTCGCTACAACGAAAGACTGTGTACAGCGGCCACATTCAAGTTCAAAACACTGTTTGTACAAAACCAATTGGAACCACTGACGTGCATACACGTCCACCACCGGAGACTCAGGGAAAGCTTGACGATTTAACCCGTCACCTGCCGCTGCGAATATACATTGCCAGATCATGTTAACATGTCCTCCTGCATTAACTGGTTAATAAAAAGTTTTTGAAAGTCTCTATTTTCAGATCTGTTTCACTCTAAATTTTCAAAGAATTGATGACTTTTTAAATCACGATAGATGGTTGGCAAACGTGTTACCAGAATACAACAATAAACTTGGTCAAAAGGACTTCCTTCCCATTTGGTGACCATTGCTCAGTATCATTAAAGCTTATTGGGCTGGGTCATTTTCTTTGTAATAATATTAGCAGAATTAGAAATAATTTTCATATTAAACCTACATTGTAGATTGATATGGTTTATCATCTTAAGATTTTCAGAAAAAAATTTTGATTATCAAAATGGTAGAGAAGATATGTGAAAGAACACAATCTCTATTTCTTGTTTATTAGAATGAGGGTTTAGTTCCATTGAAAAACCAAAAAAATTTGCAAATCTAAACGAAGTACTTATAAAAAACATCTCTACAGTAAGCAGACGTCTGCACTAGTAAACAGGAGGTCATGGGTTGAGTCCCACCGGAGTAGTTTGTGAATTTTTTTCTCACAATCACTCTGGACAACACTGAGTATAAAGTGTTTCTAAAAATACGTTGGTGAAGGGGAAAACCCAATAATATAAATAATCTAGGTGATGGGTTTTCCCTTGCTTAAAAACTCCATAATTTTTTTTACAAATGTTTGAAATATAGGTGGTACAGATGTCCGGAGTTGTTATTCGGAGCCCGTATCTACGGTGTAGGGGTAGACATGTGGGCCTTAGGTTGCATACTGGCTGAGCTGCTGCTGAGGCTACCCTTCCTACCAGGAGAGTCCGATCTGGATCAACTGACCAGAATATTCCAAACACTGGGCACAGTAACTGAAGAACAGTGGCCTGTGAGTTGAAAATTAGGGATTCAATCCAATTCAATTAATTCACATTTATTTCTATTTCACATTTCGTAAAATACAGCTAAATATAGATTAACAATTGGTGTATACTCAAAACAAGTGCACATGTATATTAAATATTCACTTGAAATTAACAAAGTTGAAAATGGAGGCATGTCCCGGTAAGCGGTTGCTTGAGCTGGGGATGCCATACAAAACAAAACAAAAGGACGGACAGCAACAGACAAAAACATTCGGACAAACTAAACATTAATACTCGCCAACCATTTTGTCTTATTTTAATGTTTTTGACAAACACACAAATGAATTCAATATGTCTGTGCCCTACCCCTGGATCCTTTGGTAATTATTCAATATTTGTGGGTAAAGGTAAAAGGGGATGAACCTGTGTTCACAGAAACTGAGTGCCCATCTTTTTTTCAAAGCGATTGGGCCAGACTCCTCCGTGTAATGCTGCTGTGGGGGGATCGCCACACCTCCTACACAGCGAGTCTGTTACCTTCCCAGCATTGAATAATGCTAGTAACCATTTTACACCTGGGTTGAGAGGAGTAATTGAGGTAAAGCACCTTACTCAAGGGCGGGGCTTGAACTCACAATCTCACAAGCATGAATCCTGACCACACATGCCCTATTTGTGGGAGTGAGGAATTGCAAATGCTCTAGTAATGTAATGCATCTCTATACACTTAACTGTAGCAAAATAAAACCTCTATAAGGCCACAAAAAAAAGTCTCCGGTTTCTGGTATGGAGCTTGCCCAAAAAGTGGTGCGGTGACGCGGCTTTTTTTTTTTTTTTTACCTGATTTTTTTGCTTCAAATGTCGGCTGATGACTGCAAATGGTGCCCGACTAAACTTAGTGCAAATATATGGGAGTCCAGAGAGGCCACAGGAGCTTATTCTCGACCATAACCCAATCTAAAAACACGTTAAAATTGTGCAGCAGCAGGATTCCAGTCAAACCAGTGAGTTTGGCGGTTTTGAGACATCATCTTTCATTGAAAAAAAAACTTTTTCATTTTGCCGACGCGCATGGCTACGGCGATGCGCGTGCATACCAGAAACGGGAGACTTTTTTTTTTTTGGCCTAAGTTTAGACAAATTTTTCTCTTCCCCATGCCCATTTCAGCTCACTACATTTTGCTTACATTTTTGCTTTCAGGGAATGACACTTTTGCCTGATTACATAGAATTCAAGAAGTTCCCTGGAACAATGCTCAGCGACATCTTCACCGCTGCCACAGACGATCTTCTTGAACTCATAGCAGCTCTGCTGTGCATAAACCCTATGAAGAGATATACTGCCACTCAGGTAGTATTAACGTGATGCATGATAGCATTTACAAAGGATGAATTGTACAGTGTGATGTACATTCAGACATTGGAGAAATTTTGCATCCGAACCGATACCTGTATGCATACGTTTAGATATCTGTAACTGTTATTGACCATTTCATTATTTCGTATCATGTACACCTCTGCATAGTTACCAATAGAAGCAGTAATCCAAAATGGCAGCCTCCGATGAAAGCCTCTTGTTTGCTACAAATCTTGCTTTGAAGTTGAGACAAAACGATGTGCAGCAATTCATCCTATTTTAATCGAATAAAACATGATTAAATAACTTATCGGAAAAGAGGATGAAAAACGAAAATTTACAAACCGTTTTACGCTGATACCTAGGGCGCTATATATTTATGCCGTGTACACGCGTAGCAGATAGCGAGTTGCATATGACGTCACAAGACTACACAAACTGATGATCCGTTTGCTTGCAAAACATCTCTCAAACATCTCGGTTTAACCTTTGAACTCCTTTAACAATACTCAAGGACTCCCGCAACAATGAAGAAAGAGAGATGAAGCTGGATGTTGGGGGGGGGGGGGGCCTCTGAAAATTTGAAAAAGTTTAGTCTGTCAACAGAAACATTCGGAGTGTTCCATATCTTCATTTGATATGCTGAAGCCAAAATCCGAAGGATTGAGATTGAGTAGGCATTACAGAAGTGTCAATAAGATATAAGCTTCTGAAAATGGGCCAAAATCAATGATGCGTCTCGTGTACATGCGCAATTGGGGTGGGGGGGGGGGGGGAGGGTAGTGTCGGGGCCAATCTTCAAGGGATCATTTTGCAGAAATGACCAAGAGTTAAGACCTGCAAGTTGAAATTTCTTCTTTTTGCTGATAGAGATATGATGTACTTGAATGAACCCATCCATTTAAGTCCTGCCCTATTCTGTTCTGACCAGTCACAGCTGTGATTAATGTCTGACCAAAGTGCACAAGTGTATTATGCGCGCGTAAGTGCAGTCTGGCTTTCAAGAGGCCCACGTGTTGTTGCCAACGTGCGTAGTGGGCAGGGCAGATTTGATCGGCCTATTGTCGCAAAATTTGAGATAATAATAATCAATAGGGTGCTTATGTAGCACTTTATATCAAAGGCATCAAAGTGCTTCATCATTATTACCCCTGTTTGTCAGGCCTTGAGACAAGTTTTTGCAGTAGCTCGAGATCAGCGCATTCTGGCCTCTACCTTCACAGGTACCCATTTATACTCCTGGGTGGAGAGAGGCAATTATAGTAATTGTCTTGCCCAAGAACACAAGCACCATGTTCCCCATCAGGGTTCGAACCCACGTACCACGGCACATGAGTCAAACACCGTAACCATTTGGTGAGCAACCAACCCATTTATTGAGTTGGCACGGAATGACCCGTTTAATATTTCTGATTTTTTTCAGGCATTGAAGATGGAGTATTTCAGCAAAAAGCCTGGCCCAACGGTAGGCCGTGAGTTACCGATGCCCGGGGTACCAGCCGCTGTCCTGAAAGAACAGCAACACACGAGGGCAGCAACCAAGAGGAAACAACCGGATGATTCGGGTAAAAGCTTCGTGTTTTATTTGATCAGTAGACACAATTCAGGCAGTCCAATCCAGGTTTTCCAAAATAAATATTTATTTGTTAAAGGTTGCGGATGCCCAAAACAAACAAAAAATTAATTGAAAAATTGTGAGGAGAGAAAAATTTAATTTGTTGAAGAACACGGTCAGCATGTCTTGAATTTGGACTGTAAATATTTACCGTGAACAATATTTGTGCAATTTGATTAAAAACAACATTTTTCTCACTTGTAGTTTGTTTTTCATTCCTCAGGTCGCTTAGCAAAGAAGCTGGTCTTCTAGTTTTTGTCAATCATATTCCCACCCGACTTGCTTGGTGAGTTCAGAATAACACATTGCCTCCGAAATTTTAAAACCAAGGAGGATCATTTGCATTTTGCAAAAGGACCTGTCGATTCAATAACAGAAACCTTGCTCAAAGTGGAGAAAGAACTGGTATCAAATACCCTGTGAAATTATTCCGCCTGAAATTGTGTTGTTTTAAGAAAACTAACATTGAAGGTGGCATCAAAATAGGGTGCCGGCAGGCACACCTATAATTACTTGCATTAGCAACGGAATCCAGTTCCAAGAATTGTGCATACATTCCTCATAGTGTACAGTAGCCACCAAACTGAAACTTCAACATATATGCACACTACTTAGGATTTTGAGCAATTTGCTACATCAAATGAAAAAGTACACAAAAGCAAATGATCCTACGTACCTATAAGCATGCTAATATTTTAATGACAAAACAGAAATCTGTCATTTAGTTGAACTCCAGTATGATTACTACCAGGAAATTATGTTGTAACACCGAACGGAAAACATAACTGTACTTCTAGGATCAAGGTATGTTGTCGCTGATGTTCTTTTGGGATAGTCTTCAGATGTGTTTTCCTCATTCTGCTGTTCAGTGCTTGCTTTTATGAGCAGTTGAACCTGATGTTTTCACTGATTTGACCCTATCCGCTTCACTCAAATCAAGCAATTTACCGTAATCTCTTCATAATGTAGATACTACAGTTAATTTAAAATATATTTTTGAAGGGGTGGCGAACTCTTACACTTTGTTCACTAGGTAACAATATTACATATATTTATTTTCAGCCAATACATTTGGCTGAAGTACTTCTCAATTATAACTCTGGTAGTTTTCTTCAATATGGAAAAAAAAATGCAAAATGTCACAGGGTTGGGATTTGCATATATCACATTCAACTGTTTGTCACAATCAAAATGCTTTGCAAATACAAAATTACCATCATCATTATGAAAACATTCACAAAAGTCAGACTTGAATTCGTAAGCAAGACTTTTGGTGTTGTAACATTTGTTACGCTATCTTAACAGAGGAGCTGATGTTTAGGCCATACGCCAAACAGAATGTAAACTGGTCACAAACAAATTCTGGCTCTTCATTGTAGCATCATCATCATCATGGCATAAAAGTCCATACTTCATGAGGTGATCATAGGCCATCATGTCACTCAGTGAAATGCCGCTATAACGAATACTGCTATAATGAACGTTTGGCTATAACGAACATCCCCTTGGGTTCCCAAAATAGTAAATTCTCTTGTAATGCACAATCACTATAATGAACGACCACTATAACAATTTTTTTTTGATGGACCCCACCATGTTCATTATAGCAGCGTTTTCACTGTTTTCCAATATATTGCAGTGTCATCTGTGTAAATGTAGTCATAGACCATTTGCATTGCCATTGTACCCTGAGCATGATGGGACCTAATTCTATTAGGTCCCACCCCCTGAGAATGAGCCTGTGACCACAAAGATGGCGGTATACGTGAAGAGGTCTGTGGACACAACTCCATACTGAGCCTGCACAAGCCCTCACTTCCATATGGTTGCAGACCAGTAAATAGACCTCAGTGATAATTACGCCCACGTCCCGAAGTTACATGTGTAAAAAACACTCGCAACTTTTAAAGGTGTTTGTGACACCCATCAAAGTAAAGGTTATTTCATCATCTTTTATTTCCTGTTCAAATTTTTGGGCTTAACCATTGACTTTTGGGAGAAAATTCCGTCCAAAGATGATCACCCCGAAAAGTTGTCCTGTAGCCCATCGCCATTTTGAAAAATGATGCCTACGCTCCATTGCAAAATAGAGCAATTGTAAGGCCCAATTTCACAGAAATACAAGCTCGCAGTCCTGTTCAAGGCTTTCCACCCTTCTTTTTTACAAACCCTCAAGTTCATGGCCCTCAAAATGCTCTATTACTGGAGAATTGGAAGGCATGCAAATCGTGATTTGGCTGGCGTAGACATTTCGGGCCTTTTTATATTACTGGCCTGCACCCTGTGGACACGACTCCCTACTAAGCCTGCACAAGCACTCACTTCCATATAAATGCAATAGCGCCCTCACAGGTTCAAAACTGGGCAGCATGCAGTAAAACAAGTCATCCAGTGTGCTAACTTGGCGATACAATGTGTATGTATGTGACAAGCGCAATCACAAGACAAACGTTAATATAGTGATTGAATTGTGTGTGACAAAAAATTATAGCTTCCAACCAACATATTTTGGCTAGCCATTACCATGGTAACAGAACGGCAGACAATCATTATACCTGACCAGTGACATTCGTAATCACAATTCAGTTTCACCATAATTAATGAGCAGTTTTTTTGGCAACACAGGAGGGTGGCCATGTTGATAATAATGTTATTTTGACAGTAATGTTAACCCAAATGGCTGAAACTGTACTACATTATACATGGTTTAAAACTCTACATAAACATAAAAGAAATTGAGAAATAAATATGAAATAAAACTAACAATGATCTATCCTGTTTTGATTTTGTAGTTAAAGACATTTTGTCTCATTTTATGGTTGATTATTCCAATTTCCTGAATGTCAAATCAGAATCATTCTCTACCATAGACATCTCCAGTATTGCTTCATTTCCTGTTATCATGTTGGTCTTGGGTATTGTTTTGTGCAGAGCTCTAGGAGATGAAGTTGTGCAAAACTTCTGTATTAGTCTCTTGTTTTTGGACATTTCACTTGTAGCATGTTTCCCTTATTCTTTTGCTAGTTCTCTAGTTTTCTTTCCGTTCCTACTTGGACTAAGCATTATATGTTGTGATAATTGAAGCTAGTTAAAGAGGTTGTGGAATGCTCGAAGACATTTCCGTCATTTTTTTGGTATATGTAGCCTAAGGTGTGATGAAATAAAAACGACTATTGTTTCTGTCATGAAATGAGCACAAAGGGTACTTTTGAGAGCTATTTTTCAGGTCCTGTTTCGACCCGAACGTGCAATTTGTATAAAAGTCGTCGTTGCGGGCAACAAACAAAACACAGTAAATCGTGACGTAATAAACAGGACTCGTATATGCTACTCTGCATCGGGAGTCCTGTTTATTACGTCACAATTTACTGTGTTTTGTTTGCTGCCCGCAACGATGACTTATACACAAATTGCACGTTCGGGTCGAAACAGGCATGACAGGACTTGAAAAGCAGCTCTCAAAGGTACCTTTTGTACTCATTTTATGACAGAAACAATAGTCGTTTTTATTTCATCACACATTAGGCTACATATACCCGAAAAATGACGGAAATGACTTTGAGCATTCCACAACCTCTTTAAAAGATTTGAAAACCAAAGAAAAGATGCTTAGTTAGTTTGTCAACTGATCTGGACTCTCTCTGTTCACTGGAATTCTTTTCATGCACTTAGTGTGTACAATTGGCCAAATTTAGCCATCATTGGTATGGGGGGGGGTTGGCCTAGTGATTAGGGTTCGTGACTCATGATCAGAGGGTCAGGGGTTTGAGTCCAGCTGTCGGTCATATGTTGTGTCCTTAGGCAAGCTACTGAACCCCACTTGCCTCTCTCCAACCTGCGATTGACTAACATCCCATCCAGGGGGAGTAGAGATATTCTCAGTCGTTTCATGATACTGAAACTGGATATAAACGCCAGCCTGATGGGCCACATTGGCTCGTGACAGACTTTAGTTACTTTTTATTTGGTGTTGGGGGTAATCCTATACGATAGCACTGCCCGGCTCACAAGTGGCAGTCAGTCTGGTTGTCAGTCAGTGAGTGAGATGGGCACAAAGAGGACACTAGGCTGGCCCTCTGGGACCAGCGAAATTATGTGATAATATCCATGGCATATAAAAATGTAATTTTGAATGGTAAACCTTTTGAAATATCTGGTGACTTTTATTTGTTTATCCCAAGTGTCATGGACTAATTCATTTTTCTTCATAAGTTTTGTTTCTATTGACTTCTCAGTACTCGGGCTTCACACTCAGAGCTTTAAGCTGCTTCTGTTTGTTGTTGACCTTTTGGGGAAATGAGGCAGGAAATCTGTAAAACTGTGTCGTGACTAACCGCTTGAACTTGTATATTTTAAAACTCATGTTCCAGAAATGTAGTCTCACTCTGTGCTCTGAAGTATTTTTCAGTCAACAACCAGAATGTACACAGGGTAGTAGGTTTTTATTGAATTGTATCGATGCGCACATATATATCGTCAGCAAATACTTTCTGGTTACTCTTAACCCTAACCGCCTGGGCCCTTTTGGCCCTAGGCCCTTTTGATTTTGGAGGATTGAGGAAGGTCAGGTTAAAGTGCAAAATATGGAATCGTAGAAATGAGTACCATCCATGGACAATAAACGACTTTATTTATTCTTTTTAAAAGATAAAGAGCATAACCAATACTTGATTTTGATAACGTCTGCCAGACTTCCGCAGCCTCAACTGACCCGGCCAATTGTGGAGGGATCTTCCAATTAAATGACAAAATTGATTTTGGACAAATAGGTTGTCAGAACACTTCCCTTAAAAATAGCACATAAAGCGTAATACTGCCCAAGACAGGCTCACTTTCCAAGCTCAGATGTTAGTTTTTAAGCCTGTAAATGCTATCACCTGTTTCACGTAGGCCAGTGATGAGACCCTTTTAAACAACATCAATTAATCCCCGAGCTGTAATGAGGATTGACTTTAAACCCACGGACTCAGGGAACAGCAAGTTGTGGGAGGCACCCAGTCAATGGACCATTGGAGAAATCTTCAATTTCCTTTTTTGTAGGAGATACGTCCTGCCATTACAGTTTACTGGCACAAGTCATTGACTAATCTCTTCTTAAATGACAGTCTATCAACAGCAGGATAATCATGCACACAGTTGCACTTTGACGGCAGGGCTTGTTGAACTTTTGATGACTTGGAGAAGTGAGCTTGCATTTTTTTGGGTGTAACCTTCAGCAGTTGGCGTTAATAGTATTAGTTGGCAAGGAATGGAAACATTTTGGGCCCAAAAGTCATAGG